ATTTAGCGTTATCATAAAAGGTAAACTTGAGTATATCACTAACTAAGGATTAGAAAATTTAAAATTTATCAAATAGATTAATTATTACTTAACTCTATTAATTTGGCAAATGATAATATTTTTATGATTTTTAAAAGAAAGAAGAGAAAGAAGAAGAAAGAAAAAAATTATGACAAAAAAATACAATAAAAAGATAAAATAAAGAGGAAAAAATAGCTACTTCCCATCCCCACACCTAAATTTTGCATTGTCCTTAATGCAAACTCTATGATGCACAAAGTAAACAGATAAGAAATGAAGCACTTATATTTGACCGGCTGACCTAAAAAAATCTGCAATTACCTTTGGTGTGAGGAGGATGAAATCAAAATTTTATTCTTTTTTTCATTTTTTTTCTTTTCTCTTTTTTCTTCTTTTTTTTTACTATAAAAGAACAAGAAACTCTCAAATGAGAGAAGAATAAATTCTTTTTATTATTATAAGACAAAACAAAATAAAGAATGCAGAATGAAGGGTTCAACATGAAAAGCTCAAATTCTACATTGAATACTACCTTTTTACTGAAGAATCTCCCTCAGATTTTAAATAAATTCACAATGATATGATCAATGATGTGTTTAAATTCCAAACATTTCAAGGTATTTAATGGTTTTTGCAGCAAGGTGAGGTTGGTGTAATGCATTTTGAATTTCTTATTGAACTTAGATTCTTGCTTTGGGAATGTTTGTCTTCTAACAACCAATACCCTTTTTACAATTTCCTCAAACCCAAGATTTAGGGTTGAGATATAAAAATTTAGTTATTGTTTATTTTCCAAGAATCTAAGTTCATCAAGAAATAGTTCTTCAAATGTTGTGTTCAAGAAGCATGAATTTAATACAGTGTCCTCATTCTGCAAAACCCAATTTGTTTTTTCTAATAATTTCAACTCCTCACCAAAAATTTCCTCAAAACTTGGATCTGACTCATCATCATCATCTTCTTCTAGACTTTCCTGAATGTAATTTATTTCTAGAGGTTAATTATTCGGTTGGTTCCCTGGATTGAAAATGTTAAGATCAGCAGTCAAATTCCCAAAGGACAGCTTTATTTGACCAGTTCTACAGTTGATGAGAGCATTGGAAGTGGCTAAGAATGGTCGTCCTAAGATGACATGTATCTGTCCTTTGGGATTTGAAACGGGTTGTGTTTCCAAGACTACAAAATCCACTAAAAAATAAAATCCCCAACCTTAATCAGAACATCCTCTATCTCACCCATGGGAACCTTGATAGATCTATTAGCTAATTGTAAGGTGCATCGGGTTGGTTTCAGTTCACCTACACCTAGTTGCTGGTAGACTGAATAAGGAAGCAAATTGACACTGGCCCCCCAAGTCTAAAAGCGCCTTATTAATGTGAGTATTACCAATGACATATAAAATTATGGGAGAACCTGGATCTTTATGTTTCAAAGGTATTGACTTTGAGAGCATATCACTGATATTGGTAGCAAAAAAGACTTTCTTCGGAATATTTATTCTTCTCTTCTTAGTGCATAATTCTTTTAAAAATTTAGCATAAGATGAGATTTGTTCAATTACATCTAAGAAAGGAATGTTGACATTAACCTGTTTGAAAGTTTCTAGGATCTTGTCCTCCTGAGGGGAGTGTTTCCTAGGCCCGAGTCTATCTGGGAAGGGAGCAACTGGTCTAAATCTATCAAAAGTAGGCTCAGGTTTAGGTTTGGGTTCTTGGTCATCTGAAAGGGGTAATTGTTGAATAGAGTCATCAGAAGGAGAAGGAATTTGTTCTGGATCAAGAGCTTGACTTGGAGGTGCTCTCACTTGATTATCGACCTGTTTCCCTGACCGTAGTAAATGGATTGCATTCACTTGAGCTTCACTACATCCTGTGTCCTTAGGATTGACCACGAGTTGACATAGAAAATTTCCTTTCTCTCTTTCACTCATGGCATTAGCTAGTTGACCAAGTTGGGTTTCTAATCTAGTTATGGCTTGAGTATTGGAGTTGAGTATTTGTTCGGTTGATTGCATGAAGGAATTCAAAGTGCTGGGTGTTTGAATCAACATATTCATGGTTTGTGTAGAGGTCTTAATTATGGTTTCCAAACCCTTTTCCAAGATATTAAGACGTTTATCATGATCTAAATTGAGAGGAGTGTGAGTTACAGCTTGATGATAAAGAGACTGATTTTGATATAGCAGATTGTGTTGTTGAAAATTTGGTTGAGAACTAAAAGGAACTATGGTTCCCCTAGGAAATTGGTGGTTTGAAGTGGGATCAGAGAGACTTTCTTGATTCTATGTAGATTGGGGTGATTTCTCCAACCTGGATCGTAGGTTGGAGAAAATGGATTATTCACAAGAGTACAAGATGTTGGAATACAGCGTTAGCCTGTCTTAGTAGTTGAGTGTTTCCTAAGAGGGAACATTCTTTTGAAACATGGGATGGTAAAAGACAGTTATGACAACCTAAGGTAGAAACTTGATTGAGTGAGCTGGAGCTCTTTCTTTGATTTCTAAGGCTTCTAACCTTCGCATGATTGTAACCATCTTTGATTCAGATGCTATGTTAAACTCTAAGGAAAGAACACTAGACTTAGATTGAGGAACTTATGAAACACTGTCATCACAATGTTCCCACTACATGGTTTTCTCAGATAGATTCTCTAAAAACTCCCACGCTTCGTCGGTGTTCTTTTTCCTAAAATCCCCTTGGCACATCGACTCTAAGAAAGTTTGTAAAGAATAATCCAATCCTTCATAGATGATTTGGCATAACCGCTATTTTTCGAGACTATGATGAGGACATTAGATAAGAAGGTCTTTGAATTGGTCAAAATACTTCCAGAAAGGTTCTCCCACGACAATTTTAAAAATTTAAATGTTGTTTCTAAGCTTAATCGTTTTATAAATTGAGAATTTTTTTTAAGAAAAACGGTAACAAATTCATCCCAAGTTGAGATGAAATTTGTAGGTAAGCTATACAACCATTTTTTCCCTTGTCCTTAAGATAAAATGGAACAAATCTGAGTTTGATTCACTAGTAGAAAAACGATCAACCTAGACGGAAATTTCCGTCTAGGTTGATTGCAATTCTGTCTAGATTAGTTCATCTAGACGGAATTCCGTCTAGTTTGATTGGTTTATTTTACGTCCGTCTAGATTGCTTCAAACTAGACAGAATTCCGTCTAGATTGATCAATCTAGACGGAAGTCAACCTAGACGGAATAAAAAATTCCGTCTAGGTTGACAACCCAGACGGAATTCCGTCTGGGTTGGATTTTTACAACCTAGACGGAATTTCCGTCTAGATTGATTCAATCTAGACGAAATTCCGTCTAGATTGTCTTTTTTCAGAAAAAAAAATTAATTAAAATTTGGATTTCCCTGTACAATTACATTAATATTTGAATACATCCAGAAAATACTGTACACGCCACATTCAACCATCCAATCATAATCAAAATTCATAACAATTCCATTCAAAAACATCTATATAACCAAATCCAACACATTGTACAAATCCAACCATCCACTTCAAAATATACATCAATCAGTTCCGTCTAAAACACATCCAACAACATATATACTAACAATGCCAGTGACTAAGATATGATACACAACATGAATAAATATAGTGTTATAACAAATAAAACTGTTTATTGCATTAAAAATAAAAAAACCACATCCATCGTCGTCGGCGGGGGTAAAATATCTCCACTCTGAATGTTTAATTGAATAATCATTATGTGGTGTTTGATAACATATTAGATAAAAATGAATTTATAAATATAAGAAAAAAATAAGGTACCTGAGCACTACTCTGTCTAGCGCCGGAATTATCGCCAATCGAGCTAATGATCCGTATGACACCACCATACCAGGTGAAGCTCCGACACCATGTAGAGGATATCTTCCTCTCCTATTATTAGGGAGAAATAAATATTAAACTTTGCTCTCAAATTCAATAATGGTAAACAAATATAAATAGTATGTAGTATTCAAATTGATTCGATTTTTCACCATCCTTACCTATTATGACCCATCAGGTTCTGTGTGAGATTGATGTTCTCCTCTGCAGAAAGCATGTGAGGGTCTGGCTCGGTTTGTTCCTCCTCCTGCGAAATGTAGACAGATGCAGCCTCCTTGGATGCGGTCTCAAATCCCTCCTAAAGCACAAATTTATAGTTAATTCAAGATAATGACCATATTATTTGTGTTCTCGTTTCCTCGTAATGTTAACAAAATAGAATTAATAATACTACTCAAGATATGTATAAGTCTCACCACTAACTCGAGATTTGCCGTGATCTTATCCCGATTCCTCTCATCACCCCTATATTGTTCACGAAAAGTACCATATGCCGCTCTGGCCCTCAAGTGTATCGGCATTAATGATTTCCCCTGTCATATTATAAATTATGAGATTTCATAATCATACTAAACATTAAGATCTTTTAAATCTTTAAATGACATATACCGTATCTTGACAATAAACATCCTCCAGATTGGCGTAGGAGTGTGAGCCCAAGTGATGGTCATGCAGCTTCTTTCTTCTATTTTCTGACCCCTTCGTGGATTTATTCTTTAAAAAAATTCTGTAAATATAAAATGAAATAATATCTTAAAATTATAAACTAAATTTCATGAAACTAACCTTGGCGGCATCGCTGTCCCAATACATGAGGAGAGCCGTGAAATGAATCTCGTCAACTCGGTCATCGAGGTTTAAAAACCTCTGCTTGTCCTCCTCATACCTGTCATAGGTTTCATGTTTCATCTCATGCCTCCATTGTTTGAGGACTGCTTCAACCTTGACATTAAACACATAATTCCAAGCCCCCTTAAAGTCCTCAAGGCAGAAGCAGTCCTGTAGATTTACATACACATTTAGTAAGGATAATTTAATATCAATGATTTACATACACATTTAGTAAGGATAATTTAATATCAATTACTAATTATTAATAAATAAAAATCTAAAAAAATATGCACTTACCATAAGCGCAGTCCATATCGCCTCGTATGCGGTCCATGATATAATTCTTGAAAATAAAAATAAGGGTTGACAATGGTCGCTCTACGCACGAGAACCCCAATATATGCATTCAATCGGGTTGACCAAGGACCAACGGGCAAATTAGAACTATTCCACCTAATAATGCCCCTCATTCCTCTTGGCGGTTGTTTAGAATCAGGCTTACCTCCGCCACGTCGTCCCTCTATGCGATCCTTCTTAGCACCTACAATAATGACAACATGATAATATATCATATAATATACAAATGTTAAGATTAAAAGTATTTATATAATTTACCATTCTCTATCTCTCTTTCTTTTGCTGCGAGTGCAACAGCTTTCCTAGTCTTCAACATAGAAAGCATTTCCTGATACCTTCTCGCAGCACGTGGGTGGTACTTCCTTGAATCAGCCTTGGACTTATGAGAGTCCGGAGGTAAAGGTAAACTGAGAAAGTCCTGGGTCTTTGGCCGCAAGTCAGTATGGAATGTATATGATGGATATGTCGGGGTCCAAGTAGCACCTACATAAGAAAGAAGAATCATTAATATTAAATTTTAATTAAACATTATCAATTATTAAATATTTACCTGCGTCGGGGGATGGTTCTGGTGTTGCATCAGAGGGGCCGGGGGATGGTTCTGGTGCTGCATCAGAGGGGCCGGGTGATGAATATCCAGCATCTACAACAAATGAACACTATGAGCTAGATAACTAAAAATTTATAAAACATGTTAAAGTATTAATTAATTTTTATACCTGCATCCGGAGATGGTAGTGGATCATCAGCACCACTACCTGGGGTGATACTCCGTGAGCGATCACCCTCCAGGTCAAAGAGCCTCCTCATCCTCCTCCTCATCTGCAAATATAATAAAGACAATCGTTAAGAAAAAATTGTATACATGCTCATGAGATATGTTGTTATGAAATGCATTATTGTTTTTATTATGATAAGATAAAAATCGATAATGTTTTAGCTCATCAATCATTAATCGTCTATAGTAGAATAGCACGTAATCTAAACGACTCTTTTAAATGGGCATCATATGCTAAAATACCCTCAGACCATAATTGTTTTAGCTCATCAATTAGAGGCTCTAAGTAGACATCAATATTATTTCCCGGAGCATGCTTACCGGGTATCAGTAATGAAAGTATCATAAACGGCTGTTTCATACAAAGTAATGGAGGTAAATTATATGGCATTAATACAACTGGCCACATAGACCAGCCAGAGCTCGTTACCCCAAATGGATTGAATCCGTCGCTTGATAGACCCAGTCTTACATTTCTGCAATCTTTGGCAAAACGAGGATAAATTTTATCAACATGCTTCCAAGCTAAAGCATCAGCAGGATGTCTCAATTTACCATCGTCTACTCGATCATCCTTATGCCACCTCATATTCTTTGACGTTTCCTTGTTCATGTATAATCTTCGCAATCTAGGAGCCAATGGAAAATGTCGAAGCACTTTGACTGGAATTTTCTTCTGTGTTATCCCTGTCTCCGTTGTAATCCTTGTTGAAGAATTTGTGCGCTGTTTCCACCTAGAAACTCCACATGTCGGACACTCTTGAAGGTCTTTATTGGCTTTGTGGTACAAAATACAATCATTCGGACATGCATCAATCTTATTATAATCAAGACCCAGAGCGGAGACAATATTCTCAGCTTGATAAGTTGTTTAGGGTATGTTGTTCTCTCCTCCAGGGATTACAATCCGAAGCAAATCAAGAAGCATTTCAAAATAATTATCTGACGTACCGCTAAGTGTCTTAATATGAAGGAGTTTCAGTATAAATGAAAATCTTGAGTACTCGGTACATCCCTCATATAAGTCCTTTTCACTATCTTCTAGTAGCTCCATTATTCGCTTTATTTCTGCGGAGGAATGCATATCATCAATATTTTCAACACTCGCGACACCTCCTACCTCTTCGGCTTCAACTTCGTTATCATCTTCACTTTTGTCTCCAATATCATCCTCGACATTATCATCAACATCATATTCTGTAGGTCAAGGAAAAATATCATTCAACAATGTTTCTGTGTCATCTATTCGTTGGCCACCGGACGTACCAACATGCATATTTGGATCATCATCTTCAGTGATACCCTCCCCATGCCAGTTCCAGTATTTATATTTCTCATCAAAACCTGATTTTATTAGGTGAATCCGTATATCATTTCTATTCAGCAGCTTCAAATTCCTACACTTACAACAAGGACAGTACATAGCACCGCTTCTTAAATTTCTCGGATTCATTTCCGCATAACGCATGAAGGCTTCACATCCCTCCTTGTATCGTGTGTCGTGAAATCTACGATACCTAGGGATATCTATCCATGACTTGTCAGGAATTATCCACATCTGTAAATTATATATAAATATTAAATACGATTAGTCTCACAACTACTAATACATCCATTACTCTTATACATTCAACGCACATCAAACATACGTTCATATATCATTTAACAATATGAATATTTATCTATATAAAATATATATAAAACATACGTAAAAACTAATTACACTAATCTTGCGGCTGTCATAGGAAGGCTTCTATCCATTAAGAATATAGTAGTGCTTACATCCAACTTCATATACTTTGTATATTTTCATTTCTTGAAAATTTCGGCAGCACCTACCCGCTGTTCTCCCTGTACACTGTGCGGATGTTATTATGCGTATCAGTAATAACCCGAAACGCAGAACAACATACGCTTATTGTACACGGAGAACAACGAATACGTGCTGCCAAAACTTTCAAGAATGAAAATATACAAAGTATACAAAGTTGGATGTATGCACTACTATATTCCTAACCCGTCCGAGAAGGACAGATCCAATAATTACGAATTTCAGTACCAATTTTTTATTCCTATAATATAAAATAAACGCTCATTTTTGGGAAAAAACGTCGTATCCTACCCAAATCTGAGTCGTATATCATATATTATAAGTCCAAATAATTGGATGTAATTATTGGACGGAAGTCTAGGGATAACGTTATTTTTTTATTCACCTAAATTGGATTATAACACATTATAAAAATTTATAATGTGTTATATATCACTCTATTTTTTAAAAAAAAATTATTTCACATATTTTCACATCACAAACTTAAATAATCACACATACTTATAGCACGAATGAAACTTAAATGAGTTAGGGTTTATAAGTGTTTAAAACTCAATAATGATAACTAGTGTTGTTCAAATGAATTAACATGTATTTAATTAAGTTAGGATTTTCAGAATTGAACTCGTTTATTTTTCAACATAATTAGGGTTTTTAACCAAATTCAACAATAATTAATAATAAAATTGAAATTTCTAAAGCTCAGTAGAAAAATCATACCTTTTAAACTGATTTCCGCAACGGACACCGCCGAAGGAGGGGGGGTCGGGAGGTTCCGGAGGAGGGGGGAGGTCAACGAGGGGGAGGGGTGTGCTGCTGATGGGGGAGGGATGGGGGGCTCAGAGAAGGGAGGGAGGGGGGGAGGGAGGGCTACCGAGAAGGAGGGGGGGGGCTGTGCTCGAGGGGAGGGGAGGGGGGATGGAGGGGTGAGGAAGGGGAGGCGCGGAGGGGGGTGTCCGGGAGGGGGGGGGCAGCCGAGGGGCGGGGGAGGCCGAAGGAGGGGGGAGGCCGGAGGAGGGTCGGGAGGGGAGGGAAAGAGGGCGCGAAGGTAGGAGGTCGGGAAGGGGGGCCGAAGGAGAGGGTCGGGAAGGGGGCGGCAGAGGGGGCGGCGAGGGGGAGGCCGAAGGATGGAGGATGGAGGGGAGGAAGGAGGGAGGGGGATAGGGGCCGCGAAGGAGGGGGGTCGGGAAGGGGGGAGGGCTGTCGGGGGGCGGGGGGAGGCGCGGAGGAGGGGGGTCGGGACGGGTAGGGGGGAGCGCGGAGGAGGGGGGGTCGGGACGGGGTCGGGAAGGGGAAGTAAGAAAGAGGGTTGAGAGAGAATGGGGGGGAGTGAGGCTGATTTGCCCATGGGCAAACTTAATTAGTTTGGCCCTAAGGCAAACGCTAAATACGGATTTTCGTCTAGGTTGACTGTTCCGTCTCGTTTGTCAAACTAGACGGAATTTTCCGTCTAGTTTGATCCAAACTAGACGGAACAAACTAGACGGAAATTTTCCGTCTAGTTTGCTCCAAACTAGACGGAAATTTTTTCCGTCTAGTTTGTTCCGTCTAGTTTGGTCGATTTTCTACTAGTGATTGCATCTTTAGATAATTCTCTAATTTTGATCATAAGACATACTTCCTCAAATTCTAAGATAAAAATATAGAAATATAGGCGCCTTCAGTTTCATTTCTGAGAAATTTTGGAAGCATGTTTATGTAGTGTGTTCGAAGCTCAAAATTTATTCCATTTGCTTCAGGGAGCTTAATGCAAGAAGGGATTGCATTCCTAGTGGGGTAACACATGTCTTGAAGAATTGAAGAACATGTGGATTATTGTAGGCCATTTCTTGAATTTGTTCAAAATGATTTGTGTTGTCCTTAATCCACGTTCGTATACACCAAAACAATTTTTTATATATATTTTTTAAAGAAAAATAAAAGTTAGTTTTTTTTATTATGAGAAAAAAAAGGAAGAACCTAACTAAAACAAATAAAAACAATCACTTTTTAATCACTCTAAACTCTAGGGTTAAACCTAACTCAGCTAGACCAGCTCCAAATCAAAAACTTCTTAAGTAAAAAGATCAAAATTTTACTCGGTCAGTTAGCCATTTAAGGATAGTACTAGAGGGTGATCAAAGATCAATTAAGTACCTCATTCCTTGCGGAGCGTTTTACGTAACCCCTAAACCTTGTCTTATACACCAACTAATCCAATAAAACTTGAACCGGTTCACTTAGGGATTCTTTGATCCTTATTGAGCTCGAGTCCTTAGGGGACAACGTTTAATGAGTTTTAGGAGGCTTGAATTTGTGAAGTGAGGAATTAGTGATTTGCGGGCTAAGGAAAGGATGATGAAATTCCTTACCTTATCTTAATTAAGGGGTTTTGTCCTTAAGAATATTTTCAAGTGTGTGCCAAATTAAGATGCTCAAATCACTTTGGTGAATTCCTACTAACTATATGCAATGCAACCCTATTAATTAAAAGCGACTACAAAAGGATAATAAAAAATCTTTGTTTTTTATTATAGTTAACAATCAAACAAATGTGAGAAAAGAGCTCTTGTTTGAATTTATTATCTTGTTAGTAATTGTTCAATTGGAGGATGAATTTTTATTATGATTGACAAAAATAAAATCTTTTTTTAGATCCTAATTGTCTTTAATTGTGAAGCTAACTAAAAAGAGTGGAATTGAAAGTACTAGAAAGAAGAGTTACCCAAAAGCAATTCTTCAAGTTCTTGATCTCCAATCCAAGATTTTTAAGCTCCAAGCGGTTCCTTCATAAGAAAACATACAAGTTAAAGAACCAAAATAATTAAAATCCTACTTAAGCACCTTCCCCGACAACGGCGCCAAAAACTTGATAGGAGAATAAATGATATCCTAAAAATTGCAAGTGCATAATCAATCAAGTTATAGTATAAAAATTTATTGATCCCACGAGGAAGTTGTTTGTAAGAAATAAATAGAATCGGTTCTTATG